GCAAAGCTTTTAACAAAGTCCCTCACAACCGGCTATTATCTAAGTAATATAGCAGTCGTAGCCAACTTATTAATGTGGATAGAAGGCTTCCTAGTTGGGCGCTAGCAAGGAGTACGGGCGAACTCCAAGTTATCATGCTGGGAAACTGTGCTTGGTGGAGTGCCTCGGGGTTCAGTTTTGGGGTCATTGTTGTTCCTCTTGTATGCAAACGGCCTTCCTCCCCTCCTATCATAATTGGTCTTGTTAATATGCTGACGATGTGAAGATACGGTGAGCAATAAGAAGTAAAGATGATGGCTTAGAACTTTAAAATGATCTGGAGAAATTATCTGAATCGTCTCAAACCTCGGATTTGCGGATAAATGCTTCCAGGTGCATTGTAATACATATTGGTCAACAGGGTAAAAATACATACACAGTCAGTCAGTCACAACGTAGAACTTCGTACGTACGTACATCAGTTCGAGTTGCCATACCACATTAGCACAGAGATGCAGTTGTCGATTCAAATCCCATAGTGGTAGAAGTAGTAGGAGTATAATCAGAAATCCAAAAGATTAGGGTTTGAAGAAATCACGGTGAATAACAGTGAGCTACCTGTTGTCCAGACACATGATCACTTGGGAGTCATCGATAGCCGAGACTTAGAAACTACTGTACGCTACCGTGCAATAGTCGCCGAAGGTTTGGGAACCCTATGGTCAATACATAGAGCGTTCAGCCATATCAATACCAAAACTTTCTTGACTTCGTATACAGTGCTCGTGCGTCCTAAGCTAGAAAGCTGCATACCTGCAGCTAGCTCCTGCCTAAAAAGAGACAGTAAGCTGTTAGGAAGGGTTATAAGAAACGCAACTAACCTGATTTCCGGAATATCAGAGCTGTAGTGTGATAACAGACTGGCTAAACCAAGCCTATTTCCATTGTCATATAGAAGAACCAGAGGCGGCTGGATTACAGTTGTTAAATTACCTAGTGATAACTTTGCAACTGATATGCCAACACTTTTCTTATCTTACAAAATAGAAAGTTTACGAAGACACTCCAAGAAAATTTCTCAAGCCCAGGACAAATTAATTGTCAGTAGACTATCGATCTTCCCACCGAATTGAATTCATTACCTTAACATGTGAATGAAGCTCCATCTGTCTACCCTTCCATAAAGACGTTGTCTCAAGTGAGAGCTCCCTGTTTTGGGGAAATTTCGGGGAAGTTGCTGTAGAATGTTTTTGAAAAATGGCAAAACCCCCACCGAAATTTTCCTATGCCTGGGGAAAATCCCTACAGTTTTGGGGAAAGCCCGAAATTTCCTCAAACTTTGGGGATAACCACCAGATTTTCTGAGACTCTGAGGAAACTCTAAAATTTACCTAAAAGAGGGAGATTGGGAGACCACTGCGGTGGCCATAGTCAGGAATACCACAGAACACTAGGCCTCCTGTCTTTTCCAAAGCGAAACAAAAGTTGAAATCATGCATTATTACTATGGTGATGATACCACAGGTATTGTAGTTTGACAACACTTTACCAGTAAAACCTATCATTGAATCGTGCCCACCCAATTAAATCAAAAGTCAGAAGCGAAGAGGATGGAAGATATTTTTGATAGATTAACAATATATCGAGGAGTAACTAATCTAAACTGGCTAATGATCGCAGAAGTTGAGCATGCCCTTCCAAATCGTTATCTGGTGCAGATGCATGACCAAGCGCCCTCAGCTAGTTGAGTCCATTAAAACTAATGTGGACAGCATCCAATGTCGAACACTTACAGCGCTATTGATTATGGGGATAAATTTACAGCAACAATGGTACCACTTTCCTTATTTGAAGAATAGAGGCTATCAGAAATAGTTGAGCTAAACTCAAATCAAATTCAGAATTGCCTTGATTTGACCGCTTCTGCAAAACCTTAAGAATTGCCGATGTGACTCACTGATCATTTTATGACAGCTTGACCTTCAAGAGTTCGGTAACCTTCAAATGTGCGATGTCCTGAATTCAAATTCGGTGGTATCATCCGACGTTCGGTCGGTCACTGATTTGAGGTCATTTAGCTAGGACAGGGTTTCCACCATAGTCGACCTACTGTATAAGTCAAAAATACAAGGATACACAAAGTAATAATAAAAGAGGGGTAGACAATGGACATTGTATAAAAACATTAGAACTAGTATTATCAAGTGGTTGTGAATGCAATATGTATGAACGCGAATAGAAGTAAGAATAATTCTTCAGTACAGTCATCATTTGATTTGTGTGAGAGCGGATTTACTAGTCAGGTGCTGAAACCAAAGCAGGTAGTTTTCTTAGGGATCTACTACTCCCTTAGTCTTCAACTCAGCGATGCAGTCCACAAGACAGTGGAACAACGTTTAAAGACTCGGTTTCGTGGTAGCCTGTGACCAACGATAGGTTCATATTGCCGTTTACTCCTTCAGGGTCTTGTATCACATATGCATCAGGGTTTTCAAACTTTTGTAGGTGGATCCTCCGTGCCCGCTGACCCGGTTTAAGAGCTCGACATTGGCTTTCGGTCCTTTCGATTTCGGAAACCACCCGTTCCTCTAGAAAAGAATAAGTAGGACTTTAATGACAGTGGTTACATAGGCGTAGTCATGGGAGCATTTGGTGGGAAGTGCGGATTCTCCACCTTCTTCTATACCAGGGCTATTGGGGGCGATTTAATTTCATGTCATTTATTTGTATAAGAGCAAACTTAGTCCTGTGTTAAATCATGAGCTCTTGGTAAAATAGCTTATAAGCTATTTTATAGTGAGTGACTACTCATTATTTGGTTATGGTTGATATATTTTGGACAGCTATTTTCTGTCTTGGTAGTATCGTACTCGCTCTGACGCTAAACACTGCCGACATAAACTGAAGCGTATGAACTGAGTCATCTGTTGTGTATGGGCATCTGCCAACAGTCATAACTGGTTAACTTTCAACTTTATTGTCTAATTCCACTGATGACTGTCCAGTTAAGACCAGATTTACATCACACACTTTGTGTTATGACGTCCAACTTCCAATCACCAGATCCCTGAATCAAACTCCGCCTCACGAGCGTCAGTTTGATTAACTTAGTAGTATCATTAGGCCACACACAGTGTGGCTTACACATGTCTAGTAAATAAGTTTGGTTCTGTCCAACCATAATTGTCTTCTGAGCAGTAGCTGTGAATTACTAAACCAATCGTTGGTTAGTGATGACATTAGATTGAACACTATGTACCAGGTAAATTGGTTAGTAACATTCCAGACTTCTAACGACTGAAATGATTAGGTTATGTGCACGTTACCTCTAGCAACCACTTATATCAACGTGCTGTAGCGTAAGATCAAATCGAGAAACGATTAAGAACTATCAGTCGAAGCATTATTAGTTCATAAAGTCATTATTGACTTTGACGCTTATTAAGAAATGCAAATACTCCGACGATTGTCTGCTACTTGGCTGTGATCAATGATAATGTTAAATAGAAAAGTTGATAACTAATATTTTCACGAAGGATATTACTTCACTGTACAACTTTGAATATTAAGCATCTTTAGCCTCATAACACATTTACTGGGCAATGATTTGTTATTAGTGATTCCCCTAAATGCCCTGGTATGGCCGAGAGTGGAAAGAGTCCACTCTCCCTCTCCAAAATGCTCTCACATGACCATGTGTATATAGCTTCTGCCAAGGAAGTCCTACTGACTGCCTTCTCATCGCACCAGTGTTGTTTACGAAATCAAGAGGACGAAAAGCGAATGTCCGGTGCTTTAAACAGGTTGGTGGACACGGAAAGTCAACCTAGGGGAGTTGGAAAACCCTAATTCCAAACCAATGGTGCACATGGACTCCAGTATCCTGAAGGCACAAATGGCGTATGAATCAATCGTTGGTCACTGGCTACTATGGGACTGCATCTCCTTATCCCTACCGTTGCTGTTACCTTGACGTAGTGGTCGGGTTTGCCTATCATGATGAACCGATCGAGCTATACTGGCTGGATCAATCGTTCCTCAAGGTCTTACCATTCCAGACAGGTGTGTTGAAGAGCGGTGAGACTAAAAGCAGCAAACTCAAGGTTCGAAAGCAAAGTCGTACTGTTGATTGTACAGAGGTTTGACGACAGTAAGGTGTTTCCTTCAGACGACCAGCATAACAGTGATGCTGCCTTCCCACAAGAAGGGGTGGAGTTAGAAAAGGTCGACCCTAGAAATGCACACCTCGCCTTATCCCACGGATATCCGTCTCCGGCGGTAAGGTCCCAACAAGTACGGAGCTAACACAAAAGCTACGCACAAAAAGGTCGTGTGTGACCGACCTCAAGGAGTTGTCCCTTGAGCGCTGCGGTCACACTCAGGTCATTAATACCACTTCTAACCCAATTTCAGGTACCCCTAGAAGAACCCTTCCACAGTGTGGGTAACCGGGAAGTGATATTGCCCTCATACCTCTAACAGCACTCAAGATCACTGTATTCTTAATCAATCTCCTTCTTCAGTTCCTGTTATTCCTCCCACCTTGACTTTCAACACTAAACTTCCTCTTTCGGCTTCCTCAAGTGTCACCATGGCTAACGATTCTAGTGCGCGAAACACTGTCCCAGGTGTATACACTCTTTATCTTCCCTTAAACATTGAGATTAAAATTGCTTCATATCTGTCTTTCTTCTTGTACTATATCCTTATATACAACCTTTCTTTTATATACTAACACCATTAAATTAACTACTATGAATTCGGTGTTCATCTTGTTGTGCTAACGAGATATGGCAACTTGGACTGATGCATATGTGTGCCTGGTCCTACGTTGTAGCTGACTGACTGGCATCTCCTTACGATGCTGCACTGCCTTGTGGATCAGATCTTGAGGTCAAAGGCTCCGTGTGTGGCCCCCTAACAAAAAACCACCTGCTTCAGTTTGGGCACCCGGGTAGTATCACAGCCCTCACAAAAATCAAATGAGATTTGTGTGGCGCATATGTATCTGGTGCTCCTTTGTACCAATATTTGTGTTTAAATAAGTAGATAAATTGCCTAGGGTTGTGTTTTTTGTAATTTTGAGGAATTAATATCGTGTATTTTACAAGTGGACTGATGCGATTTAAAAATTTGCAGGCTTATGGGTTTATACTGAGAGTGCTAATAACATTACTAATTTTCTCAGAATGAAGTAATTAGAGTCAATCGAAATTCTTGGAATCCAGCGATTGTGAGTCAATGTCAAACGCATGAATACAACTAGGACAATTGTTAGTCTGATGCATACATTATAATTATTAAAGTTTGATGTTAAACTTGCAAATAAATTTTATTCAGAACCTTATTTATTTTTATTTTATTTAAGCACATAAATATTGGTACAAGGAAGCACCAGATAAATATGCACCGCACAAATCTCATTTAAGTTGTGTGAGGGCTGTGATACTGTCCAGGTGGCCAAACTGAAGCAGATGGTTTTCTTAGGGGACCACACCCGGAGCCTTCGACCTAAATATCTGATCCACGAGACAGTGGGACATCGTGAGGAAATGCAGTCCCATGGTAGCCAGTGACCAACGATTGATTCATACGCCATTTGTGCCTTCAGGATACTGGAGTCCATGTGCACCATTGGTTTGGAATTAGGGTTTTCCAACTCCCCTAGGTTGACTTTCCGTGTCCACCAACCTGTTTAAAGCACCGGACATTCGCTTTTCGTCCTCTTGATTTCGTAAACAACACTGGTGCGATGAGAAGGCAGTCAGTAGGACTTCCTTGGCAGAAGCTATATACACATGGTCATGTGAGAGCATTTTGGAGAGGGAGAGTGGACTCTTTCCACTCTCGGCCATACCAGGGCATTTGGGGGAATTCGGGACCTAATACCACTTTTACAGTTTATGTCTTTTCAAGCTGTTAAATATTCACTAAACTGAATTCTCCAAAAAATTTGTTTTGTTCATACATTTTTTTCCAGCTAATAGGCATTCCAACTCTTAAAGTGTTTAAATCCGATTATGTGGTATGTTTAACTGTTCATAATCCTAAATTAAATAATTCTCCAGTTCTATTCATTCGTTCACATCAAATCAAATCGAGAAATTACGTGAGTCTCTTCTACTTTGGTATGACAGATCCAAGCGCGATTTGCCATGGCGTCGAATGGTATGAATTTTTTTATTGTTATTCATATTTCAAATTATTTTATTATATAGGCCTTGAATCCCGATCCCAATTTACGTGGTTACGCTGGTATGTTTGATCATTCTCTAAATTTGGTGTTCCATATTCTCTGTATGTGTTCAGTTTGGGTATCGGAAGTTATGCTTCAACAGACTCAAGTAAAAACAGTTATTGATTATTATGATCGATGGATGAAAGTTTGTCTGACCGTCTAATCCGTTTTTTACTCATATATCTATCATTATAGAAATGGCCTAGTGTTGATCAACTAGCCTTGGCTTCGTTAGATGTATGTATATTAATTGGTTATCTACTTAGCATTATGATTGTATTGTAGGATGTCAATTCTCTATGGTCTGGATTAGGTTATTATTCCAGAGCTCGTCTACTGCATAAAGGAGCACAGAAAGTTAATTTAAAAATTTTAGCTATTTTTTAAAAAAATCGGACTCATTTTGTAGATTGTCGATGAATTTAATGGTATTTTCCCCCAGTCTGCCGAAGTTTTAAAGCATTCGATACCTGGTGTTGGACGTTATACAGCTGGAGCAATCGCAAGTATTGCGTTTAATCAGGTAATGTTTAATACATTAAGTTAAGTCCAACGTTATTGTTATTATATTAGTACCATTTTTATTATGATTAGTAAGTTGGAATGTGACAATGTAACCTATATCAAGTAAATGTTTACTTAATCAATTTGGGACTACACCTTTTGCGTGTAATGACTAAGTATACTTCCTCGGTTCTGAGACCAAAATCAATAGGGCTCAAACTTACAATTTATTTAAGTGGTTAACAAATTAGCATCGGTTCAGATTCATGCTAGATCAGCACAGCTAGATGAAACCATCATGGCAAATACTGTAATGACAGTAGTCACAGTATAATTAATAACAACAGACACTATTCACAGACAACACGTATTGAGAAGGAACAATTGAGAAGGAAAAACAAATTTGCGGGGTAAAAAGTATAACCATTTTAAGACAAGGAGTAAATACATCTGTTCCAGATAGAGAGATATATGAGAGTTAAATATGAGTGTAGTTCTGATAAAGCTCCTGGCGTTTATGATCTCGTTACAGGTAGAAGCTCGACCATAACTGCTACCTTGACGTCGTGGTCAGGCTCGCCTGTCATGGTAACCCAACCGACCTATATTGGCTGAAACACATGTCCCTTTAGGTCCTACCCTTCCAGGCATGTCGGTTCAGTCAGTCAGTCAGTTACAACGTAGAACTTCGTACGTACGTACATCAGTTCGAGTTGCCATACCACATTAGCACAGAGATGAAGTTGTCGATTCAAATCCCATATTGGTAGAAGTAGTAAGAGTATAAGCATTATGTGAAAAATAAGGGTTTGAAGATGTTATTCAAGGAGTATAATCCAATGAAATAAATTTGGAAAGAGAAAAAAAAAGTGACATGAAGAATTCAGAAGATTATAATTTGTGAGAACACAAAGAGTGTATACACCTTCGCCATTTCAAACGATTTTGAGCCATGTCATTCAAGGTCTCTAACCATCGGTTGCTATCAACTCGCGAATCCCAACCAGGTAGTCTACATCTACCAACACGGCCCAGTCCACTTGTCAGCGACTTCATGGATTTATGCCATGTTTTGGTCTGGCCGCCCCTAGCTTTCTTCCAACCTACTCCTACACCATAAAACACTGTGCTTCGGGGCAGTCGGTGATTGGGCATACGTAACACATGTCCTAGCCATCTCAACTGATGAAGTTTCAGTACTTCATCAATCGATTTGCCATCCCTACCTAGTACCCGTTTCCTAACATCTGCATTACTTACCCGGTGGTCCCAGGATATACGAGCAATGCGTCGAAGACACCTATGATCGAATACTAGTAGCCTACGAATATCCTCTGCTCTTATCGGCCATGTTTCGCTGCCATAATGTAGGACGAAACGACCTGCTGCACAGTAAACCCGTCCTTTTGTTGCTAGATGGATATCTCGCCTACGCCATAAATTGCGCAAGTTGACGAAAGCTAGACGAGCCTTCTGTATCCGTGCTGAGATTTCGTCACACACCAGACCACAAGGGCTGATGAGACTCCCAAGATAAGTGAAGCTGTCAACACGCTCAACTACTTCACTCCCTATCATTAGTTCAGGTGTCGCTGCAACCCAATCCTGAAATAACATTTTGCACTTCGAGGGAGAGAATCGCATCCCGAACATGCCTGCATTGTTGCTTATAGTGGTCAGAAGACTCTGCATTTTGTCAGAGTCTTCACCAAATAAAACTATGTCGTCGGAGTATTCCAAGTCAACAAGTGAGCCTCCTGGTAAAAGTTCAACTCCAGGAGATTGAGATGATGACAGTGTTATCTCTAAAAGCATGTCAACGACAAGTTTAGACAAGAATGGGGAGAGTGGACAGCCCTGACGAACACCACTTGAGGTAATCAGTTCTGATGACAGTTCGCCATAGGCTCTAACTCGACCAGTTGTGTTCGAGTGGAGAGCCTTTATGAGGTTAATGTACTTCTTTGGTACTCCTTTCAATGACAAACACTGACATAGAACCTCATGATCAACGGAGTCAAATGCTGCCTTGTGGGACGTCTGAATGTATGTCTATGTTCTAGGATCTGACGTAGAGTGAATATCTGGTCTATACAACCACGTCCAGGTCGAAAACCAGCCTGGTTTTCTCTAGTCTGCTCTTCACGAGCTTTGGTTAGGCGTCCAAGTATTATTGAAGCTAATATTTTAGACACTATATTAGTCAAACTGATCCCTCTGTGATTGTCACAGGAGGACTTTTGTCTTTTCTTATAGACTGGCACAATCAGTGATTGAGACCAGTCAGATGGAATTACGTCCAGTTCCAAAATTCTACCTAAGACCTCAGTCAATCTCGTTGCTAGTACTGGACCACCATCCTTAAAAATCTCAGGGGTAAACCTGTCAGGGCCTGCGGCTCTCTCTCGCTTTAGATTTCCTATAGTTTTATCAGCCTCGAAGAGAGTTGGAGGACTTACATCAATTTTCCATTCAGGACGACTGGGGATCGTGGGTAACTGAAGTGTGGCTGTAGGCCAGTTGAACTGATCCCTAAAGTGTTCTGCCCATCGATCCAATCTCCTGGATTGAAAATGAATGATATGCCCATCTTTGTCTGAGATAGTTTCGCTAATAGTTGGGTTCCTAATGCCGGTTTCTTTAATAAGTCTGAATAGTTGTCTGCTGTTACCTATTGCCGCTGCCTTTTCCATCTCTCTTGCTTTCGTTACCCACCACTGTTCACGATCATTGCGTAGGCTTCTTATTAGCCTTCGCTTAAGCTGACTCCGCTCTTCGTTATGTTCAGAGCCAGGTGGGATGAGTTTTCGAGCATCTATCAGTGTGGTAGATGCTGCCGAGATCCATTGTTTCTCCCTGACCTTATGGCTTACCTTACTAGCGGATATCACTGCTGTTTCCACAGCTTTACGGATGTCATTCCACGCTGCTTCGGGTTGGGCATGTCGGTTGGTGAACTGTAAGGCCAAAAGTAGCAACTTAAGGCCAGATGGCGAATTCGCACTGCTGGCTTTAGAGGGGATGTGACAATGGTAATGTGTTCCCCTCAGACAACCGTCATCTTCACAGATGCTGCTTCCTCTCGATGAAATGAACGACTCTGAAAGGTCGACCCTGAAAATGCCACATCTCACCTAGCCCCACAGATTTCCATCTTCGGCGTTAAGGCCTTTTGAAATGTGGAGCTAACACATCAGAAAATTCTCACAAAAAGACTGTGTGCAACGGACATCAAGCAACTGTCTGTTGGGGTTTGCGGTCATGTTCACAGGTCACTAAACCACTAGTAACGATAAACTCATAGACCATATTGCCACCAGATATCGTCGAATAAACGCTAGAGAAGACTTTCGCTCATTCTGGAGCACATGCTTGGACTCGCATCATACTTAATTACGAGAACGTACTTGTCAACATATTACTGAACGTAAAAAAGCCACAGCAAGTAAATCCCTACGATTCCAACTTAACGATGAAAAAGTCAAAAATGTATTTCAGGAACAAATAAAGCAACAGGTAGTCAATCATATAAGTGGTAGCTGGAAACGATATTAAAACAGCAGTAACATCTGTCAGTAACTAAAAACAAAATATTAAGAGCCATTAGTGGATTTTTTAGCGTCTACTGAACTGATAGGTGTCTGGAAACATATCCCGGTGGACTCTGAACAAACGTGTATACATTTTTTATCTTTCCTCAAATTCTGATATTCTAAATCCCTCATAACTATTTTTTGTTTTCATTTCGCTAATTTGTATTTTTTTCGAGTAGGATCTTCGGTGCCTAATTTTTCTTATTACCACTGATAGTGTTACAACATCTACTATTCTGGGATTTGACCGGATAACTTGATTTCTCTGTTCTAATGGGGTATGACAACTTGAACCGATGTACATACGTACCAGTTTCTACATTGTATCTGGCTGAATCTATTCTATTGCTATCGACACTAAGTTATTTCAGCAAACATCCTCAATTACTGATTATGGTTATCGCATGAACTCTAACCAGGTGTGCTAGGTCTGTAGTGAACAAGAACACGGGTGGGGACAATCAAATGTATTTGGGCACAAAATTACAGAATGTCTCACTAAAATCTGAGAACCATATAGTAAATAGTTAATTTGCAAAATAATAGTACATCGTCTCTAACTTGACTGTTCCTTTTGCAAATATCAGTCCATCGTCTCCGGTACCTAGCCTGTCGTATGCCCTGATGGTGTTCTCGTGACTTTCGGGTTGCCTGATCTGCCAAGGGCGATGGGACAGTGCATGACAATATTGTTGTGTGCTAGGTTCAAAGAGAATTGTTTGCTATATGCATGCAAGTCCGCCCCGTTAGCCCCCAAATGCCCTGGTACGACCGAGAGTGGGGAGAGTCTACTCTCCCTCTCGAAATGCTCTCACATGGCCAGCGAATATATAGCCTCTGCCAGGGAAGTCCTACTCACTGCCTTCTCGTGGTGGGGGTGTTGTTTACGAAAGTGAGAGAACGAAAAGCGAATGTCCGGCGCTTTAACCGGGTTGGTGGACACGGAGGGTCCACCTAGGGGAGTTGGAAAACCCTGATTCCAAACCAATGGTGCACATGGGCTCCAGTATCCTGATGGAACGAATGGCGGACGAACCTGTCATTGGTCAACGGCTACCATGGGACTGCATCTCCTCACGATGCTCCTGCACTGCCTTGTGGATCAGATCTTAAGGTTAAAGTGTTGCTTCGGGTGTGGCCCCCTAAGAAAACCACCTGCTTCGTTTTGGGCACCCGGGCAGTATCACAGCCCACACACACAAATAGTGTGGCGCATATGTACCTGGTGCCCTTTTGTACCAATATATATGTGTTTAAATAATAAAATAAATAATTATTATTATTCATGCATTTCCATTGATCTTCTAGTGAAATACATTCAATGCCCAACCATCATTATATACTACTTGTGTGGATATAAGTAACTCACACCACACATCCACTAATACGCTCATCTGTTAGTTAATAGTTAATTGCTTTCACCATTAATCTGACACTTCTTATTTTTAAAAGCAATGGATTCGATAACAGTATCAATGTACAAGCATCCTTTATATTATTTTCACTTCAGTGTACTCCTGTTTTGGACGGAAATGTAATACGTGTTCTAACACGTTTACGTCAAATTGGTTCCCCTGTACAATTACCTACTACTATGGAATATTTATGGAATTTAACAACTAAACTTGTTGATCCTAATCGACCTGGAGATTTTAATCAAGCTTTAATGGAATTAGGCGCAGTTTGTTGTACACCAAAAAATCCTGATTGTATAAAATGTCCACTTAATAAAGTTGGTTTATGTGAATCTTATAAACAGGTAAGTTGATAATATTATCCTGTTTTTATAGATTTGAGACCATGAGTCAATTGAAGCTAGACCACCATCGAAAACCTGGAAGTACTGGACGTCCGTTTCGTTCTATTATGGGACTCCTCAGCAGTGCGCATCCACGATCTCGCACTCACGAGATTCAAACCCAGGACCTACCATTCTCGCGCCAGAGCACTTAACCGATAGACCACTGAGCCGGTATACAAAGGTGTTAATGTCTAACTTCAACTGATCCGCGAAATTGAGATCCATGAAATTAAAATTACTAAAATCCCCACCAAACACCTGATAATGATCATGTGCTCACTAGTGACTGGCTCCATGAGGCATTTCCTGGAGTTCTAGTGAGAAGCAGTAACCATAGGAGTTCAACCAGGGCTGATGACATTGGCGAGTAGTCGATCGATTTCGTGTATCGGTTGAAGTTAGACATTAACACCGTTGGATGTCGGCTTAGTGGTCTATCGGTTAAGTGCTCTGGCGCGAGAATGGTAGGTCCTGGGTTTGAATCTCGCGAGTGCGAGATCGTGGATGCGCACTGCTGAGGAGTCCCATAATAGGACGAAACGGCCGTTCAGTACTTCCAGGTTTTCGATGGTGGTCTAGTTTCAATTGACTCATGATCTCAACTCTATAAAATTATCCTATTTTGTTCAAATTGAAATTTTCCCTATTCTTTTTTGTTTTCTTATATAGGTGAATGTAAGCAAAACGGATTACATTTCAACTGATCTTGAAGATTGTCATTTATGTATTAATAGTAATGTTTATCAAGAAAGGTAAGACATGTGCTATTTGTTACTTTAATTTGCATAATTTACATTTTGAATTCATAAATGATGTTTGCAATATTACATCAAGTTTTAATTTTTTTGTAATGTTTTCAAACCAAATTTTATTTTATATTATTTAAACACATGAATATTAATACAAAAGGGCACCAGATATATATACGCCACGCAAATCTCATTTGATTTGTATGAGGACTGTGTTACTGCCCAGGTGTCCAAACCGAAGCAGGTGGTTTTCTTAGGGAGACACACCCGGAGCCTTTGACTACAGATCTTTTTTTGATGCTGCTTGTAAGACATCTAACAAAATTACCTTTGTAGTGGATAAATATCAGGCTATAAAAGTCTATCTCAACACCCAGAAGCACTATCTCTGTACACCCTTCTGTCTAACAAGCCGTCATCCTGTCTATCAAATGAAATGTCATCGTAATTTATGTATTCTCATACTCATCCTCGCAAATGAAAGTGATTGCCGAATCCACACTGTCAAACTGATTTAGGATTTCTCCTTGTTAATATCCAAATATACGATAATGAATGTTTTGTCTATCTAATGACTGGATAGATCTAGTTTACCGTTGACATTCTTGAAGGGTTCGTTTACATGTGTTCTGATTTATTTATTATTCTTATTCTTACATAGTCTTGGAGTAATGAATTATCCTGTGAAACTTAACAAACGTGAACCTCGTAAACAAAATACTGTTATTCTAATCACACATACTACGAGAAAAGAGAATGAAGCACTAAAACATTACTATCTACTTTTACAACGACCTAAAACAGGTATGTATTCGTTAAATGATACAAAAGTTTTTTTCTCTCCCTATGTTCCTCATGTAATTCTTTCTTGTAGTGTGTTGGTATAGAATTCCTTAGTCTATTGTTAGTGTTTGCTGTCATAAGAGGTTGGAAGTGACTTAAACGCTCTCAAACTAGGATGTGACGTTGTTGAACTTGAACTGTGTAGGTAGGTAGGTAGGTACAAATTACCTTGTTGCTGTCAGCGCGATATTCATAGCCAGCAGTTGATGTGGTTCAGAATCCATCTCAGTGACGTAGATGTACTCTCTCTTTGACTTTTTAATGCTTACACTTTGTATCCCACGAAGACTAAGGGGATATATCAGTCAGTCAGTCACAACGTAGAACTTCGTACGTACGTACATCAGTTCGAGTTGCCATACCACATTAGCACAGAGATGCAGTTGTCGATTCAAATCCCATAGTGGAAGAAGTAGTAAGAGTATAATCAGAAATCCAAAAGATTAGGGTTTGAAGAAATTATTGAAGGAGTATAGTACAGTGAAATATATTTGGAAAGAGAAAAACATAAAGACATGAGAAATTCAGAAGATTAGAATTTGGTAGAACACAAAGAGTGGATGCATCTTCGCCATTGCAAACGATTTTGAGCCATGTCATTCAAGGTCTCTAACCATCGGTTGCTGTCATCTCGCGAATCCCAACCAGGTAGTCTACACTGACCAACATGGCCCAGTCCACTTGTCAGTGACTTCATTGATTTGTGCCACGTTTTGGTCTGGCTACCCCTAGCTTTCTTCCAACCTACTCCTACACCATGAAACATTGCACGTCGGGGCAGTCGGTGGTCGGGCATACGTAACACATGTCCCAGCCATCTCAACTGATGAAGTTTCACTACTTCATCAATCGATTTGCCATCCCTACCTAGTACTCGTTTCCTAACAACTGCATTACTTACCCGGTGGTCCCAGGATATACGAGCAATGCTTCGAAGACACCTATGATCGAACACTAGTAGCCTACGAATATCCTCTACTCTTACCGGCCATGTTTCACTGCCATAATGTAGGACGAAACGAACTGCTGCACATTAAACCCGTCCTTTTGTTGCTAGACGGATATCTCGCCTACGCCACAAATGATGCAAGTTGGCGAAAGCTAAACGAGCCTTCTGTATCCGTGCTGAGATTTCGTCAAACACCAGACCACAAGGGCTGATGAGACTCCCAAGATAAGTGAAGCTGTCAACACGCTCAACTACTTCACTCCCTATCATTAGTTCAGGTGTCGCTGCAACCCAATCCTGAAGTAACATTTTGCACTTCGAGGGAGAGAATCGCATCCCGAACATGCCTGCATTGTTGCTTATGGTGGTCAGAAGACTCTGCATTTTGTCAGAGTCTTCACCAAATAAAACTATGTCGTCGGCGTATTCTAAGTCAACAAGTGAGCCTCCCGGTAAGAGTTCAACTCCTGGAGGCTTAGCTGATGAAAGTGCTGTCTCTAAAAGTATGTCAATGACAAAGTTAAACAAGAATGGGGAGAGTGGACAGCCCTGACGAACTCCACTTGTGGTAATCAGTTCTGATGACAGTTCGCCATAGGCTCTAACTCGACCAGTTGTGTTCGAGTAGAGAGCCTTTATGAGGTTAATGTACTTCTTTGGTACTCCTTTCAGTGACAAACATTGCCACAGAACCTCACGATCAACGGAGTCAAATGCCGCCTTAAGGTCAAGAAATACTACTATTGTGGGACGTCTGAATTTGTGTCTATGTTCTAGAACCTGACGTAGGGTGAATATCTGGTCTATGCAACCACGTCCAGGTCGAAAACCAGCCTGGTTTTCTCTAGTCTGCTCTTCACGAGCTTTGGTTAGGCGACCTAGTATTATTGAAGCTAATATTTTAGACACAATATTAGTCAAACTGATCCCTCTGTGATTGTCACAGGAGGACTTTTGTCCTTTCTTATAGACTGGCACAATCAGTGATTGGGACCAGTCAGATGGAATTACGTCCAGTTCCCAGATTTTACCTAAGACCTCAGTCAATCTCACTGCTAGTACTGGACTACCATCCTTAAAAATCTCAGGGGTCAACCTGTCAGGGCCTGCTGCTCTCCCTCGCTTCAGATTTCCTATAGCTTTTTCAACCTCACAGAGGGTTGGAGGACTTACGTCAATTTGCCATTCAGGACGACTGGGGATCGTGGGTAATTGAAGCGTGGCTGAAGGCCAGTTGAACTGATCCCTAAAGTGTTCTGCCCATCGATCCAATCTCCTGGATTGAGAATGAATAATATGCCCATCTTTGTCTGAGATAGTTTCGCTAATAGTTGGGTTCCTAATGCCGGTTTCTTTAACGAGTCTGAATAGCTGCCTACTGTTACCTATTGCCGCTGCCTTTTCCATCTCTCTTGCTTTCCCTACCCACCACTGTTCACGATCATTACGTAGACTTCTAATAAGCCTGCGCTTAAGTTGACTCCGCTCTTCGTTATGCTCAGAGCCAGGTGGGATGAGTTTTCGAGCATCTATCAGTGTGGTAGATGCTGCCGAGATCCATTGTTTCTCCCTAACGTTATGGTTTACCTTACTAGCGGACATCACTGCTGTTTCCACAGCTTTTCGGATGTCATTCCACGCTGCCTCGGGGTGGACACAACTTACATGGCTGCCTAACTGTTTTTCTAGTTGTTCCTGATATATATTCTTAGCTTGCCTATCATTAAGTAGAACCCTTAGAGGCTTCCCTGCAGTGTCTTTCCTACGACCAGTTAGACGCAGACAGATACGTGCTCGCACTAGAGCATGATCTGAATCTAAACATGTGCCCCATAATGAGCGACAGTCTTCAATCGAACCCCTCCATCGGTGGCTGATAGCGATGTGATCTAATTGGGTCCAACGTTGGGACGAATTCGGGGGTCGCCATGTCAGAAGATGTTTTTCCTTATGCTTAAAGTTAGTATTTGCAAGAAATAGGCGGTTATCTGAGCACAGCTGCAACAGACGGTCGCCATTATCTGTTCTTTTCGCCATGACACCATAAGATCCACCCAGGTGTCTTTCCCTTTCACTTAGTTTACCTACTTGAGCATTAAAGTCACCTGCTACTATTACAACATCAGAACGCCTAGCTTCTCGGAGAAGGTCAGAAAGTTTTCTGTAAAACTCATCTTTTATATCGTCTGAGCTGCAGTCAGTGGGAGAGTAGGCTATAGGGATATATATCCTTGACACGCATGACATTGATCACCACTCAGTGATCAATCAATTGTGATTACATCTCAGTCCTACAGGAGGTCAGTCGCGGCCCGAATAGCTCAATGGTAACATCTCTGACTGTGAAGCTAACTGACACGGGATCAAATCTGTCAGGGAGCACCAATTCCCTCAAGATTACAGGTACACCTTACTGACGAGTTCCAAGTAGCACGAAACGCGGGTCTAGGGTTTCCTGTTGACCACTTCCAACCACCATCTTATCTCAACTTAGTGCACACAGTGTTGAGCCACCTAGACTAGTTGCCACATTGCAACTTGATCGATAGCATTCGATCAGCACTAGGAAGGGCTTGACACACATGACATTGATCACCACCCAATGATCAATCAATTGTGACATCCTTTTATTATACATTTTCGATTAACTCATTGATCACTGATATTCGATTTACTATATTTAATCTATTCAGCCACTTTTTGCCTTGATCATGTATAGTTTTTATTTTTCATTTTATGGTGTTATGCGCTCTGGTCTACTTGTATATAAACTACGCCTGTCTGGAATATAATAACGATCGTCGGCCTAGTGATCATTTTTCTTGTGTTCTTCTTTGTTCGAGTCTAGTTAGTATTGAACCAACCGGTCAGTGTTCTCATCCTTGTTGTGTATTGATCTGTGCTAGGATATAGCATCTTGTATTTCACAATTGTTATCTTCATAACTAATAATTGTTGCGATGAAAGAAAAGATCTTATTATCTACTTGTTACCTTACTGAATATACTCTGCAGCTGCTACTTTGATGTAGTGATTAGGATAGTTGTGAATTTTTCAGATTGACCAGCGATTTTAATAATTTACTTAGTATTGTTTACAAATACTATGTCGTATTGGGAATGAATTCATTGTAACAAATCATTCTCTGGTGTAACTCATTAAAATAAGTGGTTTATCGTTAAAGTTTACTTAGTATTGTTTGTTTGGATCTTCCCATTGATGTTTTTAGGACTGCAACTGGTCAGTCTCTTATTGGCATATGTGCTTACTGTGCGTATTGCATCGATATAGCCTTAATTTACAAGCATGGTAAGCAAAGATGAATAGTGGCTAGCAGTGGAATCCAGTTTGACACGCGTTTCGTCCTATTTGGGACTCGTCAGCTGGATGTGCCTGCATCTCAGAGTTGATGTTCACTCTGAGACTCGAACCCAGTACCTTTCGCTTCAAACGCCATCACGTTATCCACTCGGTCACTGAGTCCTGATGCCAATTAGAGACTGACCAGTTGCAGTCCTAACACATCGATGGGAAGATCCAAACAAACAAAACTAAATAAATTTCAACTTCACCCCATTGCACAAGTAAGTGGCTATCAGGACTCAGTGGCCGAGTGGTTAACGCGATGGCGTTTGAAGTGAAAGGTATTGGGTTCGAGCCCCAGAGTGAACATCAACTCTGAGATGCAGGTACATCCAGATGACGAGTCCCAAATAGGACGAAACGCACGTCAAACTGGATTCCCCTGCTATCCACTATCCATCTTTGATTACCATGATTATAATAATTGATTAATGCATCAACTTAGGTAGTAGATTTGACTGTAAAGCTGTCCGATGCCATATGTTGGAAACTTGCGGATATGTTGCTCCTGACTGGTAGTCTTGATGACCTTAGAAAATGATAATAAAACCTAAGAGATAACTGCTTGAGCCAGGGTGGCACACGACCATTTTGTGGGTAGGTTTTGTTTTGATATATTTACTGTACAATATCATAGCGTTGCTGTTGCGGACGGTAATCATCCGTGCACAAAGTGAGGTGTAATATTTTCTGGATCGGACTCTTCTTACCTCTCCTATTATAAACAGGGATCATCTCTAGAGAAACGATTGGATTCATAGTGGTTTTTTAATACAAATTTAATATGTATATTTATATTAACAATAGAGATCTAAAACAAATATACATGCTTATGTATACATTCTCAGGCCTTTTGGCTGGTTTATGGGAATTTCCAAGTTATACCATTGAAGATAACAAGTTGACGAGTGAAATTCAATCATCATCATTTATTCCTTTAGTTATTGATCGAATTACAAATGCGTTGAATTCCTCACTGAATATAACTTCAGTTAATGAATTAAATGTGAAACCTATTGGAGAGGTATGATTTTTTCTTCAATTTATTTATTTATTTAAACACATAAATATTGGTACAAGAAAGCACCAGATACATATGCGCCATACAAATCTCATTTGATTTGTGTAAGGGCTGTGATACTGACCAGGTGCCCAAACCGAAACAGTGGTTTACTTAGGGGGGTACACCCGGAGCCTTTAACCTAAAGATCTGATCCACAAGGCAGTGCAGGAGCATCGTGAGAAGATGCAGTCCCATGTTAGCCGATAACCAACGAATGATTCATATCCCATTTGTTCTCTCATGATACTGGAGCTAGTTCATGTGCACCATTAGTTTGGAATGAGGGTTTTCCAACTCCCCTAGGTGAACATTCCGTGTCCACCAACCCGTTTGAAGCGCCGTACATTGGCTTTTCGTCCTCTCAATTTCGTAAACAACAGTAATGCCACTGTGAGAAGGCAGAGTAGGACTTCCCTGACAGAAGCTATATACTTGTGGCCATGTGAGAGGATTTCGAGAGGGAGAGCGAACTCTCCCTACTCTCAGACGTACCAGGGCATCTGGGAGCTTTTTTCACTAGTTTTGTGCAGATATATTAGTCGCAATAAAATTTTGACTTTAACCAAATATAAGATATAACAATAATTAAGAAATCATTAGTTGTTACTTACTTACATTTACTTTCGCCTGTTACTCCCAATGGAGCATAGGCCGCCGACCAGCATTCTCCAACCCACTCTGTCCTGGGCCTTCTTTTGTAGTTACATCCAGTTCTTGTTCATTCTTCTCATGTCTGTCTCTATTTCTCGGCGTAATGTGTTCTTTGGTCTTCCTCTTCTCCTTTGGCATTCAGGATAACATGTGAGGGCTTGTCTTGTGACGCAATCGGATGATTTCCTCAAAGTGTGCCCAATCCACTTCCAGCGCTTCATCCTGATTTCTTCCTCCGCTGGAATCTGGTTTGTTGTCTCCCACAGTAGCTTGTTGCTGATAGTGTCTGGCCATCGGATCCGAAGTATCTTGCGTAGACAACTGTTATTAAACACTTGTATCTTCTGGATAATGGCTTTCGTAGTTCTCCACGTCTCCGCCCCATACAATAGAACTGTCTTGACATTTGTATTGAAAATTCTAACCTTGGTGTTGGTTGACAATTGTTTTGAGCTCCAGATGTTTTTCAGTTGTAAGTATGCTGCTCTTGCTTTGCCGATCCGCGCCCTCACATCTGCATCTGATCCACCGTGTTCATCAATGATGCTGCCCAGATATGTAAAGGTTTCCACATCCTCCAAAGCTTCTCCGTCAAGTATAATTTTATTGGTGCTTATTGTGTTGTATCGGAGAGTCTTGCTTTTCCCTTTGTTTATATTGAGACCTACTGCTGCTGAGGCTGCTGCTACACTGGTCGTTTTCTCCTACATTTGTTGTTGCGTTTGTGATAGAAGAGCCAGATCATCCGTGAAGTCTAGATCGTCAAGTTGCATCCTGCCTGTCCACTGTATCCCGTGCTTTCCTCCAGATGTTGACGTCTTCATGATCCAATCGATCACCAGGAGAAATAGAAAGGGTGAGAGTAGGCAATCTTACCTAACACCGGTCTTTACTTGAAACGAGTCAGTGAGTTGTCCTCCGTGGACGATTTGGCAGTTTAGTCCATCATAGGAGTTCCGTATGATATTGACTCTCTTCTCAGGCACGCCGTAGTGTCGAAGAAGCTTCCATAGTGTCGTCCTGTCCACGCTATCAAATGCCTTCTCGTAGTCGATGAAGTTGATGTTGAGTGATGAATTCCATTCGATTGATTGTTCCACAATGATCCACAGAGTTGCAATTTGATCTGTCCACGATCTATCCTTACGAAATCCAGCTTGTTGATCTTGAAATTGGGCGTCCACGGAATCCTTCATCCTGTTTAACAATACCCTGTTGAAGACTTTTCCTGTTATTGAGAGGAGAGTTATCGCACTACCAAGTGGTGATGGAGGTGTTCACTAAAAAACGCGATGAAAACCTGAACGAACCGCCGGTGATTCCAGTCAAGCCAACTACTGGCTCAGCTCCCCGTCAACCGCCACTCCTGGAAAACTCGTCAGACTATACAGTGTGGAAGTTCAAAGTTGTAGCATATCTTCGTAAAGTTCCAGCTTCGGAACAATTCGATTATCTGGTGTCCTACCTCAGTGACGAAGCTACCAAAAGAGCTATAGTTAACGGGTTTGCGGCGGACAATACTCTCGCTCAGAACTGGAAGATTCTCGATGATTGTTTTTCGACGCCGGTGGATCCCCAACAAGCAGCCATCCGATTTTTGTCACGACATCAAACACCCGGCGAGAATCCAATGGATTATTTTAATTCTTTGCAACAGATGGCTGTGCAAGCGTTTCCTTGTCTTGATGCCACTGGAAGAGATGAATTGATCAAGTCTCGGTTCGTGGAAGGGTTACTATCCAGTTCCTTGAAGGAACACTGCCTACTAAACCCTCCAACAGACATAAATTCCTTAAAAAGAGTTACATTCCGGTTCATGGCAGCCGAGCAGCTTAAAAGCCCACTTGACATGCACCAGCCAACTGCGATGGCAGTAATGCAGCCCACAAAAGCGAGTCGCCCACTGAACCCTCAACGCATATCTAACGTTACCCGGTCTTCCCACTGGAACAGCAGTCGAAGACAGTTCAATCCCACTGAGAAGAAGTGGAGACCAACGAATAGTTATCATGGTCGTCAATCCGAATGCCCGTACTGTCGAAGGTTTGGCAAAAACGCAAGGAAATGTGGTCATAATCGTTTTGGTAACACAAGTAAGCCGTACATTTTCCATTTATCTTCTTATGCTAACCATGTGCGTCCCATCACCATTAAGGCTAGAGTACAGGGTATCGATATCGAAGTTTTATTAGACACCGGAGCGTCAGTATCCCTAATTAAGAGCGAGTTTTTAGGAAGGCTTAATCGTAAAGTCCAACAGACGCGACACCCATCCACATTACTCACAGCTAGCGGAGACCCATTGAAAGTGAACTCTAAGGTATGGTTGGACCTAATGATAGATAGACATTCGTTCCGTCATGGGTTTTTAGTTTGTCCGACTTTGACTTGGGATATGATACTCGGAGTCGACTTCATGTTAGAACATAAAGCTTGTATATTTATGGACAGCTTGGAAGCTAAATTTGGAGAGACTAAAATACGCTTGCACCATACTAACACGCCATTTAAAGTTGTGTCATATGTGGGAATCTCAGACCTGGTGCGACAAGTAAACGACAACCGAACACTAAAAGAGAAAGATCGACATGCAACGATTGCCGTGCTTCAACAGTTTAGTTCGGTATTCGAAGAGAGTATTTCCGGCAATCGCACGAGTACGGTGCAACACACCATTTGCACGGGGGACCACAGACCACTTAGGCAACCGCCTCGTAGAGTGCCAGTACACTATCAACCACAACTGGATACGATGATAAAGGATATGCTTGACAAGAATATTATAGTACCGTCATCATCCCCCTGGGCATCACCTATCGTCCTGGTTAAAAAGAAAGATTCCTCTTTGCGTCTCTGCATAGACTATCGACGCCTTAACGCTATAACTAAGCGTGACTCTTTTCCTCTTCCGAGAATCGATGCTATATTAGACGCTTTGAGTGGCGCATGTTGGTTTTCAACGTTAGACCTAGCATCAGGGTACTGGCAAGTGGAAGTCAGACCACAAGATAGAAAGAAAACCGCATTTGTAGTGCCCAATGGGTTGTACGAATTCCAAGTAATGCCTTTCGGTCTAACGAATGCCCCAGCTACCTTCCAAAGATTAATGCAAACAGTTTTACAGGATATAGTACCTCATAAATGTTTGATTTATCTCGATGACATTATTGTGTATGGTAGCACACCTGAGCAACATAATGCTAATCTGAAAGCAGTTCTCCATCGCCTTCAACAACACAACCTAAAAGTAAAACCGTCACCGTTTTACTCTTGTGATTTGTTGCATGATCTGTACTGCTGTTCTCTAACTGCTGATTCCACGTGTTACAAGTGATAGGACTGCTCCAATAGCGGAGGAACTGGCGTCCGTATCAAGTATAAATTCTCCCCCGCTTACTGAGGTATCCGGAACGGCTAATATAGGTGGAGAGCTCAGTCGTGTCTTCAAAACATCGAACGCCTGTTGACATTCTGTAGTCCATAAAAAGTTTCGTCCTTTGTGCGTCAAACGGTGTAAGGGTGCTGCTAACGATGCAAAATCACGGACAAAGCGTCTGTAGTAAGAAGCTAGGCCAAGAAAGCTACGAACGTCTTCAGGTGATTTGGGCTGTGGCCAATTAACAATGACACGTGTCTTTTCTTTATCGGTGCCTACTCCATCTGCAGTGATACGATGTCCTAAGAAAACTACTTCTTTCTGCAGCTGACGGCATTTGGACGGTTTTACTTTTAGGTTGTGTTGTTGAAGGCGATGGAGAACTGCTTTCAGATTAGCATTATGTTGCTCAGGTGTGCTACCATACACAATAATGTCATCGAGATAAATCAAACATTTATGAGGTACTATATCCTGTAAAACTGTTTGCATTAATCTTTGGAAGGTAGCTGGGGCATTCGTTAGACCGAAAGGCATTACTTGGAATTCGTACAACCCATTGGGCACTACAAATGCGGTTTTCTTTCTATCTTGTGGTCTGACTTCCACTTGCCAGTACCCTGATGCTAGGTCTAACGTTGAAAACCAACATGCGCCACTCAAAGCGTCTAATATAGCATCGATTCTCGGAAGAGGAAAAGAGTCACGCTTAGTTATAGCGTTAAGGCGTCGATAGTCTATGCAGAGACGCAAAGAGGAATCTTTCTTTTTAACCAGGACGATAGGTGATGCCCAGGGGGATGATGACGGTACTATAATATTCTTGTCAAGCATATCCTTTATCATCGTATCCAGTTGTGGTTGATAGTGTACTGGCACTCTACGAGGCGGTTGCCTAAGTGGTCTGTGGTCCCCCGTGCAAATGGTGTGTTGCACCGTACTCGTGCGATTGCCGGAAATACTCTCTTCGAATACCGAACTAAACTGTTGAAGCACGGCAATCGTTGCATGTCGATCTTTCTCTTTTAGTGTTCGGTTGTCGTTTACTTGTCGCACCAGGTCTGAGATTCCCACATATGACACAACTTTAAATGGCGTGTTAGTATGGTGCAAGCGTATTTTAGTCTCTCCAAATTTAGCTTCCAAGCTGTCCATAAATATACAAGCTTTATGTTCTAACATGAAGTCGACTCCGAGTATCATATCCCAAGTCAAAGTCGGACAAACTAAAAACCCATGACGGAACGAATGTCTATCTATCATTAGGTCCAACCATACCTTAGAGTTCACTTTCAATGGGTCTCCGCTAGCTGTGAGTAATGTGGATGGGTGTCGCGTCTGTTGGACTTTACGATTAAGCCTTCCTAAAAACTCGCTCTTAATTAGGGATACTGACGCTCCGGTGTCTAATAAAACTTCGATATCGATACCCTGTACTCTAGCCTTAATGGTGATGGGACGCACATGGTTAGCATAAGAAGATAAATGGAAAATGTACGGCTTACTTGTGTTACCAAAACGATTATGACCACATTTCCTTGCGTTTTTGCCAAACCTTCGACAGTACGGGCATTCGGATTGACGACCATGATAACTATTCGTTGGTCTCCACTTCTTCTCAGTGGGATTGAACTGTCTTCGACTGCTGTTCCAGTGGGAAGACCGGGTAACGTTAGATATGCGTTGAGGGTTCAGTGGGCGACTCGCTTTTGTGGGCTGCATTACTGCCATCGCAGTTGGCTGGTGCATGTCAAGTGGGCTTTTAAGCTGCTCGGCTGCCATGAACCGGAATGTAACTCTTTTTAAGGAATTTATGTCTGTTGGAGGGTTTAGTAGGCAGTGTTCCTTCAAGGAACTGGATAGTAACCCTTCCACGAACCGAGACTTGATCAATTCATCTCTTCCAGTGGCATCAAGACAAGGAAACGCTTGCACAGCCATCTGTTGCAAAGAATTAAAATAATCCATTGGATTCTCGCCGGGTGTTTGATGTCGTGACAAAAATCGGATGGCTGCTTGTTGGGGATCCACCGGCGTCGAAAAACAATCATCGAGAATCTTCCAGTTCTGAGCGAGAGTATTGTCCGCCGCAAACCCGTTAACTATAGCTCTTTTGGTAGCTTCGTCACTGAGGTAGGACACCAGATAATCGAATTGTTCCGAAGCTGGAACTTTACGAAGATATGCTACAACTTTGAACTTCCACACTGTATAGTCTGACGAGTTTTCCAGGAGTGGCGGTTGACGGGGAGCTGAGCCAGTAGTTGGCTTGACTGGAATCACCGGCGGTTCGTTCAGGTTTTCATCGCGTTTTTTAGTGAACACCTCCATCACCACTTGGTAGTGCGATAACTCTCCTCTCAATAACAGGAAAAGTCTTCAACAGGGTATTGTTAAACAGGATGAAGGATTCCGTGGACGCCCAATTTCAAGATCAACAAGCTGGATTTCGTAAGGATAGATCGTGGACAGATCAAATTGCAACTCTGTGGATCATTGTGGAACAATCAATCGAATGGAATTCATCACTCAACATCAACTTCATCGACTACGAGAAGGCATTTGATAGCGTGGACAGGACGACACTATGGAAGCTTCTTCGACACTACGGCGTGCCTGAGAAGAGAGTCAATATCATACGGAACTCCTATGATGGACTAAACTGCCAAATCGTCCACGGAGGACAACTCACTGACTCGTTTCAAGTAAAGACCGGTGTTAGGTAAGATTGCCTACTCTCACCCTTTCTATTTCTCCTGGTGATCGATTGGATCATGAAGACGTCAACATCTGGAGGAAAGCACGGGATACAGTGGACAGGCAGGATGCAACTTGACGATCTAGACTTCACGGATGATCTGGCTCTTCTATCACAAACGCAACAACAAATGTAGGAGAAAACGACCAGTGTAGCAGCAGCCTCAGCAGCAGTAGGTCTCAATATAAACAAAGGGAAAAGCAAGACTCTCCGATACAACACAATAAGCACCAATAAAATTATACTTGACGGAGAAGCTTTGGAGGATGTGGAAACCTTTACATATCTGGGCAGCATCATTGATGAACACGGTGGATCAGATGCAGATGTGAGGGCGCGGATCGGCAAAGCAAGAGCAGCATACTTACAACTGAAAAACATCTGGAGCTCAAAACAATTGTCAACCAACACCAAGGTTAGAATTTTCAATACAAATGTCAAGACAGTTCTATTGTATGGGGCGGAGACGTGGAGAACTACGAAAGCCATTATCCAGAAGATACAAGTGTTTAATAACAGTTGTCTACGCAAGATACTTCGGATCCGATGGCCAGACACTATCAGCAACAAGCTACTGTGGGAGACAACAAACCAGATTCCATCCAGTGGAGGAAGAAATCAGGATGAAGCGCTGGAAGTGGATTGGGCACACTTTGAGGAAATCATCCGATTGCGTCACAAGACAAGCCCTCACATGTTATCCTGAATGCCAAAGGAGAAGAGGAAGACCAAAGAACACATTACGCCGAGAAATAGAGACAGACATGAGAAGAATGAACAAGAACTGGATGTAACTACAAAAGAAGGCCCAGGACAGAGTGGGTTGGAGAATGCTGGTCGGCGGCCTATGCTCCATTGGGAGTAACAGGCGAAAGTAAGTAAGTAAGTAAGGTTCATATACCGTTTATTTCTTCGGAATCGTACATCATATGTTCACCATAGGTTTGGAATCAAGGTTTTCCGACTTTTCTAGGTGGGTGCTCCGTACCCACCACAGACACTTGATTAAAGAGTCGGACATTCGCTTATGGCCTTCTCAATTTCGTTAATACCCATTCTGCTAGAAGAGAATGAATAGGACTTTACTGATAGTGACTATATACGCGTAGTAGTCATATGAGAGCATTTGAAGGGGGAGTGTAGACTCTTTCCACCCTTAACCATATCAGGGTATTTGGAGGCCAGATCTTCATTAAGTATTGTTGTTTTCGTCTTATCTAAATTTGTAAAAGAAGAATCTATTGCATTTAACAAAATAACGATCATTATACTATGTTGACTGAGAACACCAATTGGACAACATGTTGATATTCGTTATTAACTAGTTAAGCAAAACCACTTCAAACTTTTCCTGATATAATCAACAGTAATGAAGAGATAGATATCTTTAAATGAATGTGAATTGCTCCATTTCCTCTTTTCTTTTGTTCATTATTGTACAACTCTAGGCAGAGTTTTCCAGCTAACTAGTCTCTTCCCTTATTGGGTTCGATTTGAATCCCTATGATTTCTTCCACTAATCTATTCTATTCTCCATCATATATAAAAGTCATGTGAAACATTTCGATAAAATCTATCTAAACTAATAATTTTCTTCATTTTAGTATTGTTTGTTTGAATCTTCCCATCAATTTGTTAGGACTGCAACTGGTCAGTCTCTAATTGGCCTATATACATACTGTGCGTATTGCCTCGATATAGCCTTAATTCACAAGCATGGTAAGCAGAGATGGATAGTGGCTAGCAGTGGAAGCGAAAGGTACTGAGTTCGAATCCCAGAGTGAATATCAACTCTGAGATGCAGGTACATCCAGCTGACGAGTCCCAAATAGGACGAAACGCGCATCCTGGATTCCACTTCTGGCCACTATCCATCTCTGCTTAATAATTTTCTTGTTTATATGTTTATGTTTACTTATATTTACTGTGAGAATTCCTCCGCCTTCAGGTTTTACATATTTTCTCGCATATACACATGACGTATATCGTATTCGAGTTAAAAGTTGAACAAGATCAACAAACAATTTCCTCTGAATGTTTAAATAATTCTAATACTACTACTACTAATACCACTACTACTTATGATTGGCCGCCTAGTTTAAATTCTGGTCGATGGGTTAGTCGTGAAGATTTAAACGATTCCGCTATATCCACTGCTACTAGAAAGGTAAGTTATGATTGTATGTTTATTTGTGCATGTGTGTTTTGTACATAATTTATAACCAGTTCTTATCTATTCATGAGAAAGAAATTTCGCCATGTTTACTCTTTCCAAAAACAAACATTACGACTTCGATTGAACTGTACTAGTTTAGAACCTGTTTAGACATTGCTTGGATTCAGGAATATCCAGCTAAAAAGTCCCCGAATGAAGTGATTTGTGCAACCTGGATCCAGCTGTTACCAACATTCAATGTTAGTTAAGACAAATTTCGATGTAACCGATTCGTCCATTTAGTTACTCATTAGTTATTGATCAATAAGTACGTTGACTGAGTGTAATGCGGTGTTAAACTAATTTAACCAATCACCAGCCACAACCCTTTACTCTTGACACATGTTAGTGGTTAGAGCAAAGAGAAACGATAATCCCCTGGTTGATGCCATTGAATTTTAAGTCTCCAGCTGCAATTTCTAACATGACTCAACTGTTATTGGCTTTGGCGCTTCAGCTAGCGTTTGTATGCTCAAACATCTACCAAGCTATGATTTTTACTGAAGTCCACTCTATTCTTTAATGTTCTACTAATTCAAACAATATTTACGGCAACTTTCGACTTGATCCCAAGATATAATTATACTTTTTACTCATGAACACATCTCTACAGCTACACTTGTAATTCTACAAGAAACTCTTATTGATCTCTCTAACACCTGAGGTGTTAATTGTACTGGTAAGATCAACATTCAATTACTTCAATTTTACGTAATGCGCGATTGGGCTGTGGTTTAAGGGTTAATACTTCGATCCATCTACTTCTGTTCAGGTAACTGGGTAGTATCGTAAGCCCTCCCACTTAGAGTGTAGTTCAAAGTATCCGAATGCTTATCCAGTTAACCAGTTGGTAATTACCTCTACTCACGGGTTTCGTGGACGTAATGTACAATTTTTTTTCGGTACACATCCACAATATTTTAAACTTGATGAAATAATGATCAAAGTTTTTGTTTGTCATTTTCAGATATTTGCTCATTTTGAAAACTATTCCAAATCATCACATTCTGAAGTAAGTCTTCCTGTTCATCATATAATTGTGACTTTATTCAATAAACTATGAAAATTGGACCCAGTTATTTCACAAGTAAGCTGATGCATTAGTTCTGAGACTATTTGAAAAAATAAGATGGTGGTTGAAGGTGGTCAACAGGACCCGGGTTTCGTGCTACTTGGCACTCGTCAGCAAGGTTTACCTGTAATCTTGAGGGAACTGGTGCTCCCTAACGGATTCGATCCCGTGTCACTCAGCTTTACAGTCAGAGACGTTACCACTGAGATATTCGAGTCGCGACTGACCTCCTGTAGGACTGAGATGTAATCACAATTGATTGATCACTGGGTGGTAATCAATGTCATGCATGTCAAGTCCTTCTTTAGTGCTGATCGAATGCTATCTATCAATAGTTTTACTATACCTGAATATCGTTGCAAAATATCAACATAAAAATATTCAGGTAAAATAGAGACGAAAGTTTTCATCATTGTTTATTTCCGTTACTAAGGTAATTGAAGGTCAGTCACGGACTATTTCTAATATAAGTAGTCAGTCACGTTTTAACCAATTACTGAATGCACAAGCCACAAAATATATAACGCGCACATTCGAAGTAACCAGTTATTCATAAGTTATGTAGAACTTAGCATATATGTTCATCGGTCCGAGTCGTCGTATCCCAAAATAGTAGTACTAACATTTGTAGTGATAGTAGAAAAGGCTAGTCATAGTATAATTTAAGAAGAAAGAATAATTTTATGAAGTGTAGTACCATCATTAAAGTTGGGATCTACGGGGTAAACAAAAACCAAATGCACAACTACGCCATTGCCACCGATTCTAATAGATATATTTATTTATTTAAACACATAAATATTGGTACAAGGAAGCACCAGATACATATGCGCAACACAAATCTCATTTGATTAGTATGAGGGCTGTGATGCTGCTCATGTGCCCAAACTGAGGGCCACACACGGAGCCTTTGACCTAAAGATCTGATCCACAAGGCAGTGGATCATCGTGAGGAGATGCAGTCAAATGGTAGCCGATGACCAGAGATTGATTCATATGCCATTTGTTCCCTCAGGATACTGGAGCCCATGTGTACCGTTGGTTTGGAATCAGGGTTTTTCAATTCCCCTAGGTTGACTTTCTGTGTCTACCAACCCGTTTAAAGCACCGGACATTCGCTTTTCGTCCTCTTGATTTCGTAAACAACACTGATGCGATGAGAAGGCAGTGAGTAGGACTTCCCTGACAGTGGTTGTATACACGTGGCCATGTGAGAGCATTTTGGAGAGGGAGAGGGGACTCTTCCCACTCTCGACTGTACCAGGGCATTTTGGGGCATTCTAATAGATATTATGTACTCGGATAATCATTTTATTTGCATGTTGATTTTTACAAACTGTTACTTTGTTTATTACAACTACCATATCCTTCTCCTAATCAATTAGTTAATCCTTCGACGTTATCTTCATAATCACTTATGGAAGTATATCGCTGTATAACACTTTAACTGGATTAATGTTATTTCATTGTTTGTGTAAAGCCATAGTGAAAATATGATTGGAGAGGAATATTACTTCACTCTGTTTTAAGATGGTGGAGAAGATTTGTAGCTCAGGTGGGGGATTTTGATGGAGTTTTGTTCTCTAAGCTGGATGGTTTAGTCGTGAAGCTTTCATCGTCCTTCTGAACTCCGGGTAGAAGTTTGTGCTGATAATGTCGTTCAGAACGATGATGGAAGCTCCACTAGCAAACCATCTAGCTCAAAGAACAAAACTCCATCAAAATTCACTCAATTTACTCAAATTGATGTGTACCAGGTTCTCTGTTGTTTTATGATGATTGTCCCCCTTTTTTATTTCCTTACATGTCATTTATGATGTATTCCTTATTATTATTGATTTAACTGTCTACAGGTTGATAGAAATCAACGAAAAACCAAAAGAACCTCTGTAAACAAACAATCATTCGACTCCAAACAATCAAAATTAGATAATTTCTTTCATTAGTGCAAGATTCTTTTGCTTCGGATGAACAAACAGTCAAAATGGTGAAGAAATTCTTATTGTTAATCCTAATCAGTCAGTCAGTCAGTTATCTACAACGTAGGTCCTAATATCTACTAGTGGTAGTAATAATAACGATAATAGTTATTATTGTTATCGAATGTATGTATTACTATACCGTTCCCTTTATATCCTGATTTACCCTATTCCATACAATTTCAAATGATTCTATTTTACCTTGATAGAATATTTTCTTATTTTTTATATAAATTTTTATCTATTCGAGTTTTTTTTCTTTCTGAATTGTTTCTCATGTGACCGTAATTGGTACATTTTTACTTTGTCAGGAAAAATAAATAAATAAATAAACTTTTATTCAGAAATAAACAAAGTGTTTAGTAGTTGAAGATGGATAGTGGTTAGCAGTGGAATCCAGGATGAGCATTTCGTCTTATTTGGGACTCTTCAACTGGATGTACCTGCATCTCAGAGTTGATGTTCATTCTGTGACCATTACGATTCAGTAGCTAAATGGACAACACGATGACGTTCGAAGCTAACGGTACTGGGTTCGAGTCTCAGAATGAACATCAACTCTGAGATGCCGGTACGTCCAGCTGACGAATCCCAAATAGGACGAAACGCACGTCTTGAATCCCACTACTAACTACTATCCATCTTTGCTTATAATGCTTGTGAATTTAGGCGATATCGAGGCAATACGCACAGTATGCACATATGCCAATAAGAGACTGATCAATTACAGTCCTAAATAACAATGGGAAGATACAAGTATACAACACCAACCGAAAGTGTTTAATAGTTAATATTTATAAATAAAATCGAAATTCATGGGACTTTACAAACCACTATTTCATAATAATCAGAAATGGCTAATAGTAGAATCTAGAACTCACGTTTTATCCTATTCGGGACTTGTCAGCTGAATGCATTTGTATGCCAGGGTTGATGTTCACTCCAGGACTCGAACCTAATGTCGTTTGTTTCAAACACATCAATAGTTCATAATTATAAGATTCACACTAATATTTCAGGGGATTAACAGATATCCGTACATTAAATGAATGAATATTACATACAAGAAGATGATTTCTAATGAGAATTTCATTTCATGAGCTAACTTTCAGGTTATTTACTTTTCTCATTCAACAATTCGGTATGTACTACAGTGTCGTGTTCACAGAAGACGTATTTAGATGGCTAATGAAATGAAATCGTCAGTGAAAATTACACTAATAGACAAAATTAACGGAAAAGTGCTTAATACTTCACTTTTATTGAACATTGAAAAAGGATGATTTTTATATTTATAAAACGGTCAAGTTGTAAAAAAAGGGATGCAATATCCACAGAACAACGAAGTATACAGTGTTTGAAAACACGTGATTCGTCAACTACTTTCCCACCAAACATTTACAACAAGGTTATCGATTTTGTGATACAAGAGATGCAAGCAAAATACATTATGTAATTTAATATACCCTTGTGGGCCAGGGTAATCTTGCACTGGTTTTTAGGTGAACCAGACACCATCCAGACTTTCACGCAACAACCCAAACAATACAGCTCAATCCCGCTTAACAGAAGAGCCAGACACTGCCCAGGCTTAGCCCAAGCAGTACAGCTCAATCCCGCCCTATAGAAGAACCAGACACTATAAAGGCCTCAACGTTACAATCCGAACAGCTCAGCCCAATCCTGTGGCGCAACCACTCAGGTACCAAACACCCTGGTGGACCAAAGCAAAAGACATAGATGATATTATTTTTGAGTACACCATTGTTATTGTAAGGATGGCTCGTTGGCAAACTCAAGAAGCTCAGAAAGAGCCGAAGACATTCCATCCAATCACCGCTAGAGGAACATTCTAGAATGTCGACGTGTAGCTTCCCTGTTAGGTGAATCAGAAGGACCCCCTATGTGCCTATTGGCTGTTCGAAATGATGATTTACTTTCAGCCGAAAACTATAAATACATGAGATTTTTGTGCTATATTTGACACTGTTTGGGAATAAAATTCCTACTTACTAGTCTTCTCTCTTGCGGGTTCGATCGTTCAGGTAGTCTTGTAGTACGCGGCATAGCAAGAATCAAAGCTCTAGATATTACAGTTATCGGTGTATTTATTATGATGGTCATCAATCTTCTGAGCATAGAGTAGTGTCAGAAGAACTGTAGGAGATGTGATATGATTGGCGATTGTATGTGCATTAATAGACACTCATTATTAAATATGTCATTTCCTTCAAATTACTGATTTTTACTCTGAACTCACTGAGGGTAGATTGGTTTATCGTTGTATTGGATAGTGTCGTCTGTTCTATATTCTAGTATTCCATTTTCGGTCGTTACTCGTGTATCCAGTATAACGCGTCCCAGTCTGTGTATATTGTACCACTAGAGTAATTAGTCTAGTAGTGGTATATTCTTGGTCACAGACCGTATAATAGTAGTATAATACAAACGGGAAATATTTGGATTCTCCTGTTATGTCAATGACCGCTCTAAGGAAAAAGCATTTCTACAACGTTATGAACGTTCTGGAATGATAGACAAAACAACAGTTTAGTCTCAGTATTTTCTTAATCGGAAGACTGGAGCGTTAAGTTTGAGAATGAATAGTGTAAATAGAGTCAATTTCATTTCCGTTACAGGATACTTAAAATCATATACAAGTAGAAAAAAGGAAACACAGATTAATAACAGCAAGGATGACCCATAAATCTATCGTCACATTCGTGCTTATTCAGGTTGATTTTGCTTCACTTAATCCTCTAAACATACTATACTAACCAGAACACGTAGGAAGGTATATTCACGTGGACTCGCGAGATTCGAACCCAGGACCTACCAGTCTCGAGCCAGAGCCCTTAACCGATAGACTGAATCTCCACAGAAACCTCCTCTGATAATTAATATAATCATATGCTCACCAGTGACTGAATTCGAGAGGTAAATCCAAGAGTTCCAGTGAGCAGTGGAGTACAAACCACGTCTGTCGTGAGATAGAAACTCACTGAAGACAATTGGTGAACGGTTGCTCAACTTCGTGGATCAGTTGAAGTTAGACATTAACACCGTTGGATGCCAGCTCAGTGGTCTGTCGGTTAAGGCTCTGGCTCGAGACTGGTAGGTCCTGGGTTTGAATCTCGTGAGTGCGGGATCATGGATGCGCACTGCTGAGGAGTCCCATAATAGGACGAAACGGCCGTCCAGTGCTTCCAGGTTTTCCATGATGGTCTAGCTTCAATTGACTCACGCTCTCAACTATGAAAATGAAAATAATTCACAAATACGAAATATGAGAAATAATTGTCCATTTGACAGATATGAAAAAGAAACGGATAATTATTATCAAAAGTCACGACAGGTTAGTGATAACTGAGTACCGAATAAAAAGGACTGAAAGAGATTTTTAGGACTACATAAGAATTAGAGATCGTACGTTTAGTTCATGTCGGAATTTCAAATCTTCAATGGTACGCGTGTTTTTGCTTGAACCTCCTTCTGCTCCCAGTCGTTCGACTGTCCACATGTCGTAAGATAATTCCAGTGAGATTGCATGATCCACATTTAACCACACTAAGTATTGTTCTAAGATGCATCAAATCACTATAGACACGAAAGTGCACTTTCTAAAGAGACATTGCAAATAAGGTTCTCTCCACTGAAACGTCTTTATATTTTTTCCCAATGATACGTTTAGTTTCATTCGTTAACTGCTGTCGTTGGTTATGTACAGAAACCGGGATTTCATTTTTAAAAATCCTGACTGAGCTGGTTCTGTAAGATAGTTTTACCACAAAAAATGGAATATAGTAATTGTTGTCATCCTTAAATTAAATTCATGAAAATATGCTATTAAGCTAAAAACATTCTGTGTGAAAGTAGCACTACTTAAATGACTTGGTTTCAGAGGTAAGAATATTTCATCAGAAAGGAGAAAGGAGCCACGGGGATAAGATGACTTAGACCTATATGCCCATCTATAATTTCCTGAGTCGATCAGCTCTAAACATCTGTCATATCAATGTACTCAGCACAGTGGTCATATTGTTATTTTGAGCTTGTGATTTGATCAGACTTAAGAATTCATCAACATGATTTGAGCATCCTTTAAGTAATCAGCTAGCGTGAAGTTGATCGATAGAATTAGATCAATATAAAGATCAGTGATGTATATGAATCGGTTCAATTTGCTACATTATAGGGACAACGCAATATGGAGTTATCATGACAAATATCAGAGTAAAGGAAGCAATATCAGTGATATTAGAAAAGATTGGTCATAAACAATATGGTTTGATAAGAAACGATGAATTCTTGGCATAAAAAGTATGAAATAACTTTGAAACTCAAGATCAAAGGAAAGCAAAGATTTAATGTATCTATTCCATGGCTATCAACTCTAAGCCATATCATCCAGTATGTAAAAATATTGAATACTGACCAGTTGCAGTCCTAACACAAACAAACAATACTAAATGAATTTAAACTTCACCCCATCGCACAAGTAAGTGGCTATCAGGACTCAGTGGTCGAGTGGATAACGCGATGGCGTTTGAAGCGAAAGTTACTTGGTTCGAGTCCCAGAGTGAACATCAACTCTGAGATGCAGGTACATCCAGTTGACGAGTCCCAAATAGGACGAAACGAGCGTTAAACTGGATTCCACTGTTAACCACTATCCATCTTTGCTTACAATTGAATACAATAGTCGTACTGACCTCAGCCACGCAGTCTGCACCTACCAATACATCTCAATCCAATATTCAATGACTTCATCGATTGATCTCAAGCATAAAGATCAAACAACTTAATATTTATTGCTTATTCAGTGAATCATAACTGCTAAAATCTTCTGGGTTATATCCATTCAAGCTATACATCAACAGTTTCTAACCCTTTCACTTTCATCATCGACAAATAGTGCTCTGTATCAAATGTTACAGGATAATCTATGTATATCAAAGACAGTAAGCCTTTTAAATATTCATAACCATTTCTTATAAAAATATTTTACTAAATTATCAATACTACTGAAAGTAGTTAAGCAGTAGTGTTTTAGGTCTATTATTATTATTATTAGCTTTATTCAATAATATATTTATGGTACAATATGGGATTTTCAGCATAAATATTTCAACAAGTTTCTGTTTCTCACTTCTCGGTCGATTCTGACAATGAATACTGAGTGATCGCCAGATAGAAGTTAGTAATCCAGTCAATCGACATCTAAGTAATGTACATTCTTTTCGCTGTACATTGCCAGCAACAACGATATCTCTGATTGAACCTTCTGTAACTTGTGTAACGAGAGGTTGTACACTTTTCACGGACGTACCTGAATAGGTTATGTGAATAATAACCATAATGATGATATATCAAAATAAACAAAAGTAGAAAACTTGTTGAATTATCTATATGGAAGGAACAGGTAGCCCAGATATTTGATCGATAGCATTCAATCAGCACTAAGAAGGATTTGACACACATGAAATTGATCACCACCCAGTGATCAATCAATTGTGATTACATCTCAGTCCTACAGGAGGTTGGTTGCGCCCCGAATATCTCAGTGGTAACGTCTCTGACTGTGAAACTGAGTGACATGGGATCGAGTCCGTTAGGGAGCACCAGTTTTCTCAAGATTACAGGTACACCTTACTGACGAGTGCCAATGATCAATCAATTGTGAGCAGGCCACCGTATTCAGATAGGGGAAAACACTTATTTAGAAATATTAATTTTACATTGTCCAAAGGTTTATGTGCTTGTTTACTTATCTAAATACAGTTTTAATAAATTGAAGAGCTGAGGGATGAATTTTTCGCGAATTATTGGTCAGGCAATCCAACTAATATATATTACCTAAGGTGTGAAATTAAGACTTCTTAAGAAACAATTAGCGTCTATTATTGTTCCATCTAAATCAATGTGAAATATTTTCGATAAATCATTCTAGTCAGTCTGTAAGGATACTTCTTCCTTTAGTTTCGCGCTAGTTAGCACTTTTCAGATGTCCATAACTACAATATTGAGAAATAACATGTTAGATTATGAAACCGGGAGATATGGACTTGAATACAACAAGCATCAATTCCCTCAAGATTACATTTACACATGTTTTACAAGTGCCAATTCTCACAAAATCTAAACTTTCTTGCCGGTTACCTCCAACCATTTAAAATGTATACATAGGTCATACGGTGTTAAGTCAACTAGACTAGCAACCTTATTGTATTTTGATCTATAGAATTCTGTCAGCACTAAATGACTAAACAAACATGACACTTGTCATTGCACAGTGTTTTTCTTTATGGTCTTATCTATATCTAGAATTAGTTTTCTAATTCAGTTTCAGTTTTGAAAGGACAGGAGGCTTGATGGCTTGTGTTAGTCCTGGCAATGATGGCCTCTCAGTTGATCCATCTTTCTTTTGAAAGAGTCGACGGATGAAGCCTCAACCACGTGCTGAGGTAATGTATTCCTTTCATTGATGATTCAATGGGATAGTCAGCTGAAGAGTAATTCGTTCTAGGCTTGTGGACTTTTTTGGAGTGTCCTCGTAAATTTTCTGTTGTGTGAGACAAGAAAAATAAGGGCATATCAAATGCGTTGCTTAACAGATAAGTGATTAATGGATGTCAAATTATGATGTAGCTCAATTGATTTTCAATATCATTAATGAATTACGGGCTATTCATTGATTCTGATGATCTTATATGCCACTGAATTTCATGTCTTGATGAAAATAACCATCATTGATAATTTAGATATATATATTCAGCTAGCATGTCTTGAAGTGAACAGTATAGTACAGTATATTACAATTCATGGACCGTAATAAGTTGTAGAACTACTATGATCCAAAGAGTATGAGAAAGCCGCTTTTGGTTTACATTTTGTCTAACTGTAAACGAAGTTAACTGTTCTGAACTCTGCTCTATCTGGACATGATTCATTTTTGTCAATGTGATGCAATCTACTTCAAAATTAAGGAAGTAGCCACAAACCCTGACAATGGCTATTGTTAAGTTTTAGATTCTTGTCATTTAGAATGATGAAGACGTAACAAATTGATCAATATAATTTGATGAACACTGAAGAAACATATAATTGTCCAGTTATCAATCAGTGTAAATTTCTCAGCTTTATTGGATGTCAGCCGCTTCCAAGTAGTTAGGCGAGAGGTAATGTCTTTTACTGCGGTACTAAATAACAGGGCTTTGAACATAATAAGAAAAATTGATACTCTGAACGTTACAGTTACAACTTGGTTATGTGTCGTAATTAATACGAGATCTAAATCCAGGTCCTGTCATCTTCAATCACTTAATAGTGAATAAATATTAAACCGTATCCGGAAATCAGATGTCCTGTGCCACTATCTCATCACTCGTATCATATTAATTTTATAATTATAGATTTTACTCATCTGTGAATGGTTTCCTAACGTGCGTTTGTGAATGTAATTTGAGCTATCTTATTCCTGGAGAAATATCCACATGATAAGGATTAAAATTAATGTTTAGTGTTTTATCCTAGTGAAGACATAAGTACAGGTAACTCCCAGAACCTATTAATGGATAATTATTCTATATTTATTCTTATTGTTTAACTATTGAGTGATTAAATTATGCATATCTAAATTCATCTTATTATAAGCTTCATTTAGACCTATAGATAATAATTATACGACTTACTGAAGCTAGTCTTTGTTGTCCAACCTGTGTCCAATTTGTTTCACTGATTACAAGCATCTCCAGGTTGTAACTTTTCATTTCCGAAGCAACTTGGATAACTCTTCCGGTCAACCCACATTATACGAACATTTCATGTACCTAAATTAATGGTTGCTCTAGTTGTCAGAAAGAGCATCAACCTCTTAACTTCTGAAGGAAATCGGTTTTTATCATGATACGTCATAACTATTCTAAATAAAAACTTTCTAACTCCCAGGGCAGAGTTTAAATGATTTGAATTATTTTTTTCTGGTTAGCGTTTTTTCTTAGAGAGTTAGTTTTCTATAGGATGGGGTCGCTAACCCCATGCACAACAATCTTCCTTTACCCAGGCTTGAGACCGCCAGTATCCCCAGAGGAGCTCCAGGCGGATTTACTTACGCCTATTACACTTCGTGGAGGAGCCATAAACCGCCTATCAGCATTCTTTATCGAACTCTAATTACCATGATTAATAATCATTATTATAATTCTTCTTCTTCATTGATTACATTATTATTCTTATTAATTTTTCTTAATGGATTAGTAGGGAAGAGAAAAAACAATATTGATTTTTAAATAAATAAATATTTTCCATTCTATAAAAATTGGGGGGATAGTTGGATTTATAAATAACAAAGTAATATTAACCAATGAATGAAAGAAAAATAATCGACCAATCAAATTTATCCATATATATATTTATTAACCAATAGGATTATAGTTTGATTTAAGGTCAAATGAATGGTCATATATAAATTATCTATATTTTGAAAGAAGTTAAACCTCAGTACTCATTTTGTGATTCAATTAACAAAAGAACAATGATGGATAGAAGACCATCAGGATTTTCAAAACCACCAGTTATTGGTTCACGTTCTATATTAATTGCTATTGATGGTTCAGAACATTCAAAAAAAGCATTTGATTATTATTTGAAATGGTTACAAAGACCAGATGATTCTGTGACAATCTATCATGCTGTTGAACCTGTATCATTACCAACAATATCATTATCTAATCCAATTAGTATACCAAGTGATGAATGGTCAAATATTGTACAAACTAATGTAAAACGTGTACGTCAATTAGAAAATGATTATAGTGCAGATTGTTTAGCACATAATTTAACTTATCAATTTCTATATGAATCAGTTGATCATATTGGTGCATCTATTATAGAAAAAGCTGAAAAATATAATGCATGTTTAATTATAATTGGTAGTCGTGGATTAGGTGCTATTAAACGTACAATTATGGGTAGTGTTAGTGATTATGTTGTACATCATGCTAATACAACTATATGTGTTGTACCATGGATTGATGAAACTACACAAAGTAAATCATGAAATTAAACATACTATCATCATGTAAACGGTGTATGTGCGTGTGTGTGTGTATATGATTTCAGAAATTCCAAAAAAGGTTGGTTATATCTTGTGTAACTCATCGTACTTTTATTTAAAACTTAGTTACTTTCATTTTTTTTTAGTTTCTATGTCCTTTATATTTGGGAGAGACAGAGAGAGTGGGGGAGGGGGTGGAAGAAAGAATGGAGTGTGTTCAATGGAAACCATTTTTTCTTCAATATTTGTTACTTTGTACTCATTTCATTGTTATCATCAATATAAGTAAACATAATTATTAAAAAGTCATTAATTAGACTTTTTTCTTTTTATAGAGTTCGATGGGTCCATGCTTAGAAAAAAATTAATTTCTAATCAAAAAATATGAATCCATTTTTATTAAGTATTGATAGGAAGAGATATTGTTACTAGGTGATTTAGCCTAACATTAAACTAACGTACAATTAGCAAAGATGGATAGTGGCTAGCAGTGGAATCCAGTTTGACGTGCGTTTCGTCCTATTTGGGACTCGTCAGCTGGATGTACCTGCATCTCAGAGTTGTTGATGTTCACTCTGGGACTTGAACCAAATACCTTTCGCTTCAAACGCCATTTCGTTATCCACTCAGTTACTGAGTCCTGATAGCCAATTGCTTGTGCAATGGGGTGAAGTTGAAATTTACTTAGTATTGTTTGTTTGGATTAGACTGACCAGTCACAATCCTAAAAACATCAATGGGAAGATCCAAACAAACAATACTAAGTAAATAACGTATGATTATTTGAAAATGGATTAATTTATTCATTACTGAAGAATAATCAATTCTATATTGTATTGTAGTGAATGAAAACATGGGTGGCGACTATTTCAGTAAAACCTGATAACCATACGGTAAATAGTTCATTTGCAAACTATCAATCAATTATCTTAATCTTGAATGTTTCTTCTGCAAATGTCAGTCCATCGTCTCCGATTATTATTGTTTATACATTTTCATACCCATTGCGTTTCGTTTCCGTTCTTTCGTTATTAGTCTTTTACTGATATACAATCAATGCCCGACCATCACTATATACTACTTGTGTGGATGTAAGTAACCCACACCGCAGGATAATCTTCAATATTATTCAATCAGTTCATCACATCAAGAACAAACGAACAATGTACTATAATGTTAAATTAGAAGGAGTCAATTGTATTCCATGTAGTTCAGTAGTAATATTCTTAATAATGACATATATTTGACTTTACAATGACTGTATACTCCCTTAGGATTTCTGATAAAGATTATTGATAAGTAATAAGTAATCAGAAAACAAGGTATATGATTGATGGATAATGGCTAGCAGTGGAGTCCAGTTTGACGCGTGTTTCGTCCTATTTGGGACTCGTCAGCTATATTTGCCTGCATCTCAAAGTTGATATTCACTCTGGGACTCGAAAGAAGTACTGTTCACTTCAAACGTCATAGCGTTATCCATTTAGCTATTGAGTTTTTGCTTATAATGCTTGTGATTTAAGGCTATATCGAGGCATTTTGCACAGTATGCACATATGCCAACAAGAGAATGATCAATAGTAATCCTAAACATCAATTAGGAGTTTCAACCAAATAATATCAAGTGAATTTAAGGTTTAGGATTTCCTGTTCATTTCATTTAACTACTTAATGTCCCAAAAATTGAACCAATAATTATTTTTAGTCCTTTGGACTAGATTCCATTTAAGACTTTAGTGAACAGAAGTACATCAATACTCTGAATATTAGAAATCATAATATTGATTATTATACTGATTATGCCAAATTCTAATCTTCTGAATTCTTCATGTCTCTATCATTTTTCTCTTTCCAAATTTATTTCAATGGATTATACTCCTTGAATAACATCTTCAAACCCTAATCTTTCGGATTACTGTTTATACTCTTACTACTTCTACCACTATAGGATTTGAATAGACAACTTCATCTCTGTGTTAATGTGGTGTAGAAAATCGAACTGATATACGTACGTACGTACGAAGTTCTACGTTGTTACTGATTGACTGACTGACATCGATTATTACCTTATCGTAATTAGGTATATGAGGATTTCCATTTTTGGAATCGGAAAAGGAACATTTATGAGTGAACAATATTATTCTTAGCTGGATTGTCATCAGACTCCATTCTAATATATAATAAGCACCATGCTACCAGATAACATACCCAACAAATAAGGTCTAATTTCTCTTGATTACTTGACATGGATTTGAAGAAATCTCTACATAACTCTATTCAACCATACTTGATCTATAGTGGTCATGTAATAGATAGAATAAACTATTTTGAGTGACTTATAAAAAAGATCGTCAATATTTTTCCAATAATGGTCGATTACGTGTCTTATATATAGTTGAATCTGTAGAAATTCAAGTCAACATTTCTAGACAATGAACTTAAAAGATGTTTGTAATAACTTAATCTCTTTTCGTTGACTAGAGAAAACTGAATAAACGATCTTAGGAATTGCTCAACTTCGTGGATCAGTTGAAGTTATACATTAACATCGTTGGATGACATCTGAGTGGTCTGTCGGTTAAGTGCTTGCGCGCCAGACTGGTAGGTCCTGGGTTCGAATCTTGCTCGCTAGGCGAGATCGTGGATGCGCACTGCTGAGGGGTCCCATAATAGAACGAAACGTCTGTGCTTCGATGTAGCACTCTTCTCCAGAAGGGCCTAATAGGCTTCACCATTCTTTATAGCTGGAAGGGGAAATAGACTGAACAAAATATTCCAAATATATACCTTATGTAAAAGAAAATTCTACAACATTGATTGTGACAACAGTTCAAACAGCCAGAAACAAATGATTATATAATGAGTAATCATTGATAGGAATAAAATGAGTAAGGCCCGGTTAATAAAATAAGATTATTATTCTGGATGATTGTTGAAATAAAAACTCCTTGATGTTCAAGAAAGAGTTAGAAAAAAATGTTAGATACAACGAAGGAATGTTTGTCACCAAGGCAAGGAAAGGTTAATAACCATGTCTTTTTGAACTAATATTAAGTAATTAGTGTAAATAAAAAGCAGATAAGTAGATCAGAAGACGTTTTTGTGGAGATTTAGTATTTTCATAGTTGAAATCATGAGTCAATTAAAGCTAGACCACCATGGAAAACCTGGAAACACTGGACGGCCGTTTCGTCCTATTGTGGAACTCCTCAGCAATGCGCACCCACGATCTCACCTCGCGAGATTCGAACCCAGGTGCGAGACTGGTAAGTTATGGGTCCGAATCTCGCGAGGCGAGGTCATGAATGCACGCTGCTGAGGAGTTCCACAATAGGACGAAACGGCCGTCCAGTGTTTCCAGGTTTTCCATGGTGGTGAACCTTTAATTGACTCATGAATTCAACTATTAAAATTATCTAGGAGTGGAAAATCAACAACATGGATTATGTGATAATTCTAGAGACTGGATGAAGTGAAAATCACTCAATGAGTTAGGTCATTTAAAGTGAATGAAATAACAATTAGCTAAGTGAAAATCGACTAACATAATGTAAATACTACTACTATGGTAATAATGGCCACTACTTCTACTACTAATGTTGTGAACGAAGACTCGATGTTTAAAACCGTTTCCTTTTGTTTTTACCCAAATCACACAGTCCCTTTGTGGACTATGAAAACCATACATTACACATATCGTTTGTATATCTTCCTTCAGTTATCCTTTATATCATGATTCCAATCGCCTTTCCTTTTCCTTTCTCTCTCTTCCTTTTTTTCTCACCCTTCTGCTGGTCGGCATTTTATTCCTAATTCCTGCTACATACCACGTATATCTATTCTCACAAGTGGAGCATACCACATTAGTAATCATGATAATAATAGTAACAAAAACTGAAGAGAATGTAACTAAAAGACAATCATTTATCATAATAGTAATAAACTGACAATTACTTCTTTCCACAAAGAACGAATCTAACTTATGAGAAGTGGCTTACACTGAGTCACGAAACGTCAGAGAATCTAACTTATGTTCTTTAATATATGCTACTTCTGTGAAGTATTATGATATGACGTTCTTTATTCTGTTCATTACTTTAGAAAATTGAAGTACACCTTATCATAGGACCATTATTTATTAACAATCAAGTTATCCCACTGTATAAGACCATAATACTTTTTAAACTCAGGTTTTTTCGAATGTACTTAGAAGTATTGAATCATTTTTTCTGGTTAGCGTTTTTTAGAAAGTTGGTTTTCTACGGGATGGGGTCGCTAACATCATACTCGACCCTCCTCCTTTACCCAGGCTTGGGACCGGCAGTAGACCTCGGAGGAGCTACAGGTGGAGTTAGTAAGTAAGTAAGTAAGCTTAGAAGTATTAATAAGACTGTCAGATAGATTAAGTTAATAAATTGATTCTTTTATGTAAGAATAATGATTGAATTGCGTGCAGTTACGATATTGATGATAGTTAGGTATATCGCTATTGTGATTAAGGTGAATTCTGAAATCTAATGCAAAAATGAGTCTCACAAAGTTATTCCAGGTGTGTCGGATTACTAGAAAAGAGTTTCATGTGTCATTAAGTAAGACATGAATAGAAATGTCACAGTATTTTTCTTACCATATCATACCAAGTATCTGGAATATAAAATGATATTTATCACAGATGATACTTCGAAAAGGTATTGGTTTTAGTGCATACACTAACGGACAAGAATGAATAGGTTTATACGCATCCTAGGATTGAAGTTATTGTTCGACAGTCAGTCAGTCACAACGTAGAACTTCGTACGTACGTACATTAGTTCGAGTTGCCATAACACATTAACACAGAGATGCAGTTGTCAATTCAAATCCCATAGTGGTGGAACTAGTAAAAGTGTAAACAGTAATCCAAAAGATTAAGGTTTGAAGATGTTATTCGAGGAGTATAATCCAGTGAAATAAATTTGGAAATGTTATGAATTAAAAAGAATAAAGAAGGCCGTATGCCCATTCGTTATTGATTTTTATGTCCGGCTTTTATCATGTGAATTATCCATCAGTTGGAATAAGGCTTCTCCGATCTTAACTCTGTGCCAAATAAATGACGTTCTACCAGTATGAGCAGTCTAGCGTCCTTATTGGTCTCTTTGTCTGCCTAGCTCTTCCGATTGAGTCCAAAAACACCAATTGCAGCTTCTGCTATGCGAATCATTTATTTCAAGCATACTCGGTTTATATACCAGACAGGCAGACCACATCACACCATAAAATAGAAAATACTATTTGTACAAGATCAAGCCAAATGTGGCTGGTAATGTGGGA